AAGGCCACTCCCCCAGGGCTACAGGGGACAAAACAAGACAGACTTCCTGTTCTCGCCCAAGTCGGCCTGCAGGAATCACCTTCATCTCTATTGGCACCGTGTTTCTGGTTCTATATATATATATAATTTCAGAGAGGACGGTAGAGGGGGAGAGAGAAACATCAATGACCAGAGAGACTCATTGATCGGCTGCCTCCTGCACGCCCCCTACTGGGGGTCAAGCCCACAACCAGGGCATGTGCCCTGACTGGGAATTGAACCATGACCTCCTGGTTCATAGGTCGACGCTCAACCACTGAGCCATGGTGGCCGGGCTTTCTTTTCTCGATGAAGTTAGTTTTTGTTTATTTGAGATGAATGCAAAACAACAGATAAATTTTAAAAGATGGGAGGAACAGAGGAGAGACTAATTAGATGAAAACTACAATCAGCTGTCAGTCTAATGTGCGAGGACCCGGAGCTCATCAGCCCTTCCCTGATGGCGTCCTTTGGGAGCTGCCTGGGCTGGGACAGTGCCCGCGGCCCAGGTGCCCAGCAGACCATCGAGTCAGGCAGGCCTTTCACGAGTGTCCACTTCCCAGATATTCTCAGATTGATGTGCCAAGCAGACCCCGTCCACAAAGGCCGGGCCACCCAGCCCATCCTGGGAAAACAGATGACACAATAGCCTTATCTGGGAGTGGAAGGGTGTCTCAGACCTTCCACTGGGCCAGCAGGAGAGGAACAATGCAACTGCCGGAGGAAAGATAAAAAGCGTCCCAGGTGGCCGGGAGCTGGCTGTCGCCAGACTTGCGTTCATGCTCACGAAGCTGACATCACCGTCATCTGAGGTGAGTTTCCTTGTTTGGGGCGGATCCGGCTTTGTTCTACCCTAGAGGTGAATAACGGCGGCCACCACTCCCTGTGCCGAGCTCATCCCACCCGCTGTCACTGATCGTGTAGGGTAAACGGCGCCTTCCCCCCACGGATGAGCAAACGCCTGCACCAGCAGACAGGACCCCAGGCTCCACGGGGTTAAATAACTTGCTTCAGAAAAATGTGGGCGAAGAAGAACTTTCTTTGTATTCCATCTGGTTTCAAGTTGTAAGCTATTCTTGTCCCATTAAATATACTTTTTAAAGACGAGATCTCCCAAGAAACTTTGAGTCCTGGTGGTTTAATAGCAGAAATAGCTCCTCGTGTTCTATTTCTAGTTTCCTAACGGTGGTGAGGCCACAGCCGCTGGGCTGGGCAGCATGCGAGCTGCTCCTTCCACCCACGTCAAGCTGAGCCTTGTGGCAGCTCAGGTAGAACGTAATGCAGCGTCCTGGCTGGTGGCACCTGTCCCCTGGCTGAAGGTTAGAGGCTTAGGGAAGGAGGGGCCCTGTGTAGGACAGGCCCAGCTGGAGGTCTGTGTGAGATCTTGCTCCAGTGAACTTTGCTGTGAGGCCACTGAACTCCGGCTAAGTTCTAGAAGTAGGGCACTTCGGAATTAGGAATGGCTCACTAATGTAGGCAAATATAACCCCCGATTCTCAAAACCAAATACACAATCAACTTGTCACCGGATGGAACAAAGTGAAAGGTAAACTATGCAAGAACAGTTTCCTTTTCTCTCAGTGGCAAGTTGAGCTGATAAAGGATGAGTTGTTTTTAGGGAAACGATTGCTTTATGACTGCCTGGGTGTGAGCCTCTTTCCTTGTGCAACGCGCACCTGAATTCCTTTCCGATGCAGATCCCGGGATGGGCATAGGCCTCTTTCAGGCCAATGAACAGGTGTTGGAGGGAGGAGTGTTGGAATTTGAAGACAAATGTACAACATTCTTCTCAACAGCCAGACTCGGGACTGGAGGCCGACGTTGTGAAGGAGACGGGGCTGTGAGTGCGGCCAGGCCTACGGCATGCAGGCGAGGGCCTGGACCTGCGGGGCTGGGTAACACAGGGAGGAGGCAGCTCCCAGCGCTGACGGCAGAGCCGGGGCGGGCCTCCCCCTGACAGGGTCTCCGGGGGTCCTGCTGCTCTGTGACCTGGGAAGCTCCCTGCCATGACCTCCAGTCCCATCAAGTGTGTGGACGTCCGGTGCAAGTGTGTGGACGTCCGGTGCTGACGTCTACACGGGCAAGACAAACTCTCGATAACATGGACACTTCCAGCAAACTTCTCCCTCTCCTGTCAGGAATGAGGGTGAGATGGATGCATGGAGGAGGGAGGTGCCCAGTGGATGTCTCTTTGCTGTGTCTCCTTACTTAGCCTGTTGACATTGGGTGAGGGAACTTTTAAATCAGTGTAACTCTTCGTGAAGGGTCCTTGAAGATGATATAGTAACATTAAAAAAAAATTTTTTTTTTGAATAGCAACTGCTGCTACTCAAATATAATAGTCTCCTCCCAACCCATGACGATCCAGGCGAAATTATAAAAGGTGTGTTCAGGTTCTTGTCCACAGTTACTGAAGGCCACGCTTACTTCTATACTACAGATTCTCTGGTGGATTTTTAAATTTGTGTTAATCATATGAATGGTATCTTTTTTTAGAAAATATATTTGAGTACAGTACTTGAACTTGTATATAAAACATTTAGATAATTAAATGTACATATAGTTTTCTAGTTTATAATCTTTTTTTAAAAAAAATATTTTTTTATTGATTTCAGAGAGGGAGAGATAGAAACATCAGTGAGTGAGAATCATTGATGGGCTGCCTCCTGCATGCCCCCCACTGGGGATCGAGGCCGCAACCCAGGCATGTGCCCTGACCAGGAACTGAACAGTGACCTCCTGGTTCATGGGTCGACGCTCAACCACTGAGCCACACCAACTGGGCTATAATATTTCTTAAACTGTCTGTAACAATAGCCACTTGAGCTGTTTGTCTATTTTGAAGTTAGGCATTTATTTCTGCAACAACACAAGAACGTGTGAAAACAGGCTTCATTTTATTTCCTCGTAGCCCACGGGTAGAGTCTTTTTTCTATGCTATTTGAAGAAATGTTTTGAAAGAGATGTGCACCTTAGGAGACACAAGAGAAGCAAGCACAGCATTTCTCAGACCTAAGGAGCAGTGAATGTCCATCAATAATAAACACAGCCCCATCTGCCCACTGTGCAGGCCCCGCTCCTGGTGGGCAGTCCCAGAGGAAGCCCCGCACAGAAACGAGGTGCTTCGCTGCCAGCCACAAGTGGTGGGGTATCCCCCCATTCCAGAAAGGGACCAGACACGGTGCACGTAGAGGAATTACTAGTAAGGAGGGAAAGAGGCTTTCACCCAAGGCACCAAACCGGACCACTTCCCTAACTGCTCGGATGAAAGCCATCACCTATGTGCAACTCCTATGGGGAGGCCATTCTGAAACAGATGCTTCCGTTTCTTTTGTTTGTTTGTTTGTTTTTAAACTCTCTAAAGAATTTATTAACCACAAAGAAACTGCTTACCACCACCCATCTCATTTGAATGAGATCTCGGTATTAGAAAGTGAGAGTGTGGCCAGCGTTTACTTACAAACCAAACCACCCACAGCCAGGACCCTTTCTACATGTGTGAGAGCCCAAAGCTTCGGTGTTTCCGTCCCTGACACTGTGTCTAAAACCAGCTCTGCTCGAGGTAAGCCTCCCCCCACCCCCCCAGACCAATGACTCTGCAAGCTTTCCTCTGCCTCGGCCAGGAGCCAGGAGCGAGGGTGTTAGATGCTCACGCTGCCTCCAAACCGGTCCAGATGTTGGGCAGAGGGGCGTGGAGGCTTCGGAAAAGGAAATTACCCGGGAACAGAGGCGGCGCCCTGGGATTTCTAGACGGGTTACTCTCCGGGCAGATGGGCCCTGCTGTCTCCTGTGGTCAGACACGCTCCGCCCACTGAATGTGAAGACTGCAAGCACCTCAGTTCTGAAGGAGGGACCTCCTGTTAAGTGTTCGCTGTTCTACTCTCTCTCCTCCCGCCCCACCCACCGAGAAGAACCCGCCCCTCCTGTTTATGTTTTTCCAAATTTAAGAGTTCCAAAACCATTCACTCATATGTGCACCAGACTGTCCGTGCTGGTCCTTTTCAGGGTGGGGGTGGCAGGTGGGATGGGAGCAGGGGGAGGAGGGGGGAGCTAGAGCGGTAAGTCAGTTCAGTTACAAAAGAATAGAAAGAAAGGGATCTTTTCTTATTTCCACATCAAATGTGGTAAAAGTGCCAAGCAAGGTCTCCATAGGTGTGTGTGCTTGGGTTTCTTTGCAGTTTTTTTAACTTTAATTTCTCACTACAATAAACACACACTCTGTTTCACGCTGGGCAGAGTCAAACACAGAAGATGCCACTGAAAAGCCTATAGCTATGGCTATATCACCCACAACCTTCTCCAATTTTCTACTTATTTAACAGAAAACATTATAATCAAAATGAATTAGAATTATATTATAATCAGTTTAACAGAAAATATAGTATAATCAGAAACTGAAGATAGCTTGCTCCCTGGCCAGGTGGCTTAGTTAGAGTGTTGTCCTGCGTCCCATACACAAAAAAGGTTGTGGTTCAATTCCCAATCAGGGCACATACCTAGGTTTTGGGTTTGATCCCCAGTCAGGATGCATATGGGAAGTAACCCATCTCTCTCTCTCTCTCTAAATCAATAAACATACTCTTGGGTGAGGATTTTAAAAAAGATAGCCAGGGTGAACTCTTCATAGGTTATCTTTTATCCAGGTTGTAGAATGCATAATGAAAAACACCATGGCATTCAAAAATATCTCAGCCTTTCAACAAATAACAGAGTGTTTGTTTAAACATAGAAATCTACCGTGATTCAATGCAGGAGACTGTGAAAGGCCTGAACTATGTATGCATCTCTGTGTCCATATATGTGACAATACAAATTTCTTGGTTGCTAAGCAAAGATGAACCACAAAAGACACAATAAGCTACAAAGCAAAGCAAATGACTAATAATCAAAATTAGTTTCGGTTTTTATCATGAATGTCCCAAGTGACAGCATACTATGAGGGTGGTAGGTTCTCACTGAGTAGGTTTCAAGAGACCACAGACTCCGGCATTCCAAGCACTTTAATCCGTGACAGAGCCAAAACAATTAGAAGAATGATAAAAACATTCTTTCAGGTATAAAGAGTGCTCGTACTTGAGTTTTTGTATTTCCCCCCCTGCAGGTATTGTGAACACTGATAATTTCCAAAACACAAATCCTGGTCTGGAAACTCAAGAGAGAAATGTTATCATCTCTGCCCGAATAAGCAGCTAATAAGAAATGTACTTATAAAGTATGTTTACAACACAATGTAATATGCCCTTCGTTGCCATTTTGCTTCCTCTCCCACTAGGTTTGGCATCAACCACCTGGGCACCTGCCATGAGTAATACTGCGACACGAACGCTGGAGCGCAGTGCCCAGAACACTGTATCGAGCCCTGGATTCTCTCAGAGCTGCATTTTTATTCAATGAACGCTTAAGACGTCCAATGCTGGCGACTGTCCAAGGTGATGACCAATGATAATGGATGAAAGCCAGCATCAAGAGCTGCAGTCTACGCGCGCTGTGTTCAAGAGAACAGTCTTGGTCACTGAAGCTACGGCTCTAGGAATCTGTGGTTCCAACACAATGGGACCTTCTCTCCTGGAGGGGTCTCCTTGCTAACTGTCCTTCTGTCGCGGCCCTGGATGGAGAGGCAGATGGAGCCTGCTGCCATTTATGCTGCAGTCAACTGGTCCAGCGGACGTGCACATCGCCTACGGACGCCGCCCTGTTCATCTGCGTGGATCCTCAACAAGAACAATGATGGACTAGAAACTCATAGAGTTTGTGTTTCAAATTTAAAAAATTAAACCTGCTCCAACAGGTGATATAGGGAGGCATGCTCGCAACCTCTGGATTCAAGCAGAAGCAAGGCCCGAGGGCACAGAGCCTTCTCAGTGGTAACGGCGGGTTCCTTAAGGCTTCCTTGCACAGGGTCCTTGCACCAGGTCCGGTGGGGCGCACATGAGCCCTCTGGTGCGCGGCTCACTTATTCCTACAAGGCCTGGGGCACGGGAAGCTGCCAGCACTTCATTCATCTTGCCTGTTGACAAAAGGAACAATAACTGGTCATCACTGGTCAATGGAATCACTTTTCCTAGCGTCGTTGTGTTTTTTTTCCTCCCCGAGATAATTCCTACAGAAGAGATGGTGTCAATACAGCAGCAAACGTTTCAGTGTCTGATGGAGGGCTGTGCTCTGCAACGCCTCGTCTTCTTCCAGGGGAGCAGGGAGCACAGAGCACCGTGTCCGTCTCTCCTCGGCTGGAATAGCTTGGAGAGACGCCTGTTTCGGATGCCAGGACGCCCAGGCTCCAGATGCGATTCCACCAGTAACTAAGGTCACCTCGCTGGCCGGGCTCCTTCACACAGAGGCTAAGAGGACGTCCATGGACGAGGTCTTAAAGGGGAGGCCAATCCGACCACAGTAACGGACCCCTGCAGTCCCGGCCTCACAGCTCCTCGCGAGCAGGACCAGCCATGGTCCCGCTTACAAAACCTGCACATGGGCCCCCAGGGTCCCAGTTCAGCCTCGAGCGGAGAGCCGGCTGAACTCCCAGGGAAGTCTCACAATATCTGTTGGCATCTGAAGTCAACTAACATCTTCTCGAATGATGCTGTGATGGAGTTACATGGACACACAATTCTGAAGATACACATTTCTACACCTTTTACTGTTTTAAGACCTAAGTGTGTCATTTTTTTGCTACTTGCTCATTTTTGTAAATTATGAAGTAATCCTAGAATACCTAAAAAACACATCAGTACAATGACCTGGAAGCCGTATGTAAGAGCAGGCTATACAGCCATGAAGTTCAACAAGTTTAAGGAATTATGTCAAGTACCTTTACCAAGACATGCATCTGGTAAGCACAGGTGGGGTCTAGACCCAGGAAGTCTGACCCTGGAACTGGTGCTCTCACCATTATGCTACACTGCCTACCTCGTGTTACACGGCACTGAGTCGCCGAGGCAGGAGGCGGGCGGGAGACCAGGCCTCTGATTCTTGCTTCTCGACACGCTGTCTCTGGCTAGTGACCCTGATAAGGATGAACTCATGATTTATTATTATGGTTCGTCTCTTCTGCCTAGTTTGGTCACTGCAATTGCCTTCTGAGGAACACCCTGCAAGACAGACGGACAGTCTCCACGAAGCAGCTGAGGTTCGATGGCAAATGCCAGCGCGGGGACTCGCACCCCTGCTCCTCCCACGGCGACACCCTGCAGGAGTGTCACACGTGCTGCGGAGACCCACCTCGAGGAGCACAAAGGAAGCCCCACCGCTCCAGAGAGCGCGGCCACTGAACGACACTCAGACCACAGTGGACTGAGCTGCTCCAAAGGCGTTGAATCCCATGCGAGCAGGTGGAGGAAGGCGCAGGCCCAGGTCTGGGGAACCCCTCCAGCGAGCGCATCCGTGGAGAGGCAGTTCAGCACCCCGGTTAGAGTGTGCAACCCGCAGTCAGGCCCCCAAGCCTGGTGCCTCTGGTTTTGCTCTTTGTTAAGTGTGCAGTCCACGGGAAAGCTTACTATGCGTTTCCTCAACTGTAAAATGGCGATTCATACCCACCACTGAGGCCAGCTGCGGGCATTCAGGGAGGGGCAGTGTGGGCAGCGTCCACCACAGAGGAAGCGGGCATGCTCATCGATGCTTAGGGGACAGGAACAAGGAGGAAGTTTGCCATTCCCTCTGCCCGCATGCTGTTCCCTCTCCTCTCTACCTTGAGCGCGCTTGCTTACTCGGCCACTGAACACCCTCTGCTCAATGGCTGCCTTCTAAGTGGCGAAGGCCCGGTCACCAGCCTGCCTCAGCCCACACCCGGGCACAGCCTGTCCCAGCACCTCCTCCCTTTCCTGTGACCGAGGGCTCTCTGAGATGACTGAGTGACTGAGGGGCACAGCCCTCACCTCCTCCTGGATCAGGGCGTCGGTGATTCTGCTGACCACACACTGCCCTCCACTCTGGCCACCCCAGAGTCAGGATCCCACCCTTCTCGGCATGCACCCCACCCCCAACCAAACTACCCTGTCCTTTCTCCTCCTCCTCTCTCTAGGCCATTCCTATTCGCAGGAGAGAATCCTCACAAGCAACTAGGAATCTATGTAGTTTATAAATATATATACACATCTATATATATTTTTATAAGTGAAAGCTTATGCCTTTAGAGAGGTACCAGAAAAAAAAAGAATTGCTGTTAACAACTCACATACGCCCTGACAAGACTGCACGCCAACACCTGCACCTGGGGATGGGTGGTGGGAGGGAGACGAGAAGCAGAAAGAGAAAGGGAGAGAGCAGGCGGACCATGTTAACGGATGGGAAGAATGGACCACAGGCTCCATGAGAGCAACGCCGGGCCTGTCTGTGTTGTTATAAGATCCCCGCTCCTGGGCATGGGGCTGCTCCATGGGACTGAGGGAATGAAAGTGGAACAACAGTCAAGAGTCATCCTGGATGTGTAACCGTCCACTTGCTACATCCCTCATCACTGCAGACCATCTGTATGAAAACAGCCCCGAGACATTCATCGTCGGGCAGTGGGGTTCGGGCCGTGGGATCCCCTCGCCGGCCTGGGAGCCTGGAGCCGGGGCTGAGCTAATGCTCGGGCTGAGCTAATGCTCATGAGTTTTACACGAGAGCCTCCCCTCCCAGCTTAAAGGTTAACACAGTGGTTCTCAACCTTCCTAATGCCGCGACCCTTTAATACAGTTCCTCATGTTGTTGTGACCCCCAACCATAAAATTACTTTCGTTGCTACTTCATAACTGTAATTTTGCTGCTGTTATGAATCATAATGTAAATATCTGGTATGCAGGATGTATTTTCATTGTTACAAATTGAACATAATTAAAGCATAGTGATTAATCACAAAAACAATATGTAATTATATATTCAATATGTGTTTTCCGATGGTCTTAGGCGACCCCTGTGAAAGGGTCGTTCGACCCCCAAAGGGGTCGCGACCCACAGGTTGAGAACCGCTGGGTTAACAGGTTCCATTCTAGGTTTCCAAGAAAAGACACTATAACATTTAACATGTGTTTAGTAAAACCGAAATCATCGGCTAGTGCATTTTTAATCATTTTAAACGTCCACGTTAAGAGACTCCCAATATTTGTATAGGCATGCACCTTATGCATGAAGCATTATACTCTAGAAGCACGGGAACTTAATTACATGCTATTTTTAGAGTATTGGAAGAAGTCAGTGTTTAAAGAAACCCTTTTGAAAACTGAACAATCAATCATCCGTTTTTTAAAATTTCGAGTGTCATACATCCAGCTTGCTCAGAGCTAATTCAGTCTGGTGTCCTCAGCTGCCTTCTCAACTGAGTAGGAGACGACAGGCCACTCGGGGAGCAGATGCTTCAGTACTGGCAGCAGAAACACATCTGCGAAGGGACCCAGTGGCAGAGGACCGACAAGCCCCTCGCTTTCCTGGGAAGCCAGGAAACAGAGCCAGGGCAGCTGACCCGCGGAGCTCTGGGGCAGGAGACCCCCCTGTGGAACAGCGAGCCCCCGGTCGGAGGGGACAGAGAGCAGAACAGGCTTCCAGGCCCAGCCTGGCCTCAGGGTGGACTCAGGCCTCCGTGAGATCTGTACTTCATAGGCATCTGCGTCCTCTCCTTACCTAGAAGCATCTAAAATTGGGAACTGCCCACTTAAAAGAACCCCAGGAAGGTAAGTGAGCGAAATTACAAGAAGAAAAGAGACTATTATTCATGTGTCTGGTGGGAGTGCCTGCTCTGATACTCGATCGGAGTTGCCTGCGCTGTCTCTCGTGTGCTCTTGAATGACGGGACGGGGGCTGGCCCCACGTCCAGGGCGGGCGCAGTGCAGAACTAGCGAATGCAGCAGCCACGGTCACGTTCACACTGACAGCCAGAGCAGCGAGGACCCTGCCGCTGAGTCAGCCCTTCACAGCCTGTGGTTCCCCACATCCCCGGAGGGATAACCCGGCGTCGGGACAAGCACTATCCTTGAGCTGCAGGCCTTTTGTGTTTTATTTTTCTCTTTTCACAGAATGATAGTCTTCAGGAAGGCCCGGTGCCTTATTTTAGAAGGTCACAGAGAACTCCAAACATGACCGAGTTAATGAACCACCAATAGACGCTCTTCCTCTGCAAACACGGCGCAGTCTGGGGAACGTGTGTCTCGGGCGGATCGGAAAGCGCGGAACAGAATGGGCGTGACTGCTGGCAATGGGTTGCTTTCTACAATCGCATTCCTCAGCAGCCACGGTTGGCCAGGGTCTGGGGTAAGAAACCTGACGGGCGGGCAGTGTGTGAGAGCAGAGGTGCAGCACACCCGTGCCCCCACGACTGCCTCAGGTGCTCAGGAGCTGGGGTGGCCTGGGACACCCCGGACCTGCTCAGGACTCCGGGCCCTGACACCTGCATTCTGTCCAGCTGTGCGGAGGCCCAGGCCCTTTCCCAGAAGACCTCAGATGTGAGCAACCCCCCCAATTACAAATCCCATCACAGCATGGAATTCCCCCTAAAAACAGGTAAGCACCGAGGAGCCCAGTGGAGACGTGGAGGACAGCCGTCACTGGGTGACTCACCCGCCCGGTGACCCGCTGCCACCCACGGGCCTTGCTATTCCCCTCCGTGCCTCAGCTGAGGACGGACTATTACATGCTGCGAGGCGGCTGGGAAGAGCTGGGACCACATCCGTGAGAGCCAGGACCGTTCGTTTCCCATCTCCAAGCTGCCAGGGTCGGGGCAGAGGCCGTCTGCCCAGTCCCGCCTGAGATCCCGTCCCCTCCCGCCCCACCGTCTCCAAGATACATTTGGAAAGCCACTGGTCTTACACAACTTTTGTCTGGAAAGGCTTGTTCTAAAGTGATGTTATGCACGCCCGATGAATCAGGTCAAATGAGGGGCCACCACAATGCAGGCCCTGGACCCCACACAAAATTCCCAGGACCCAACTGTCCTGTGCGCTCAGGGGCCACTTTCTTGATGGGTGTCCCCTGCCCGTCTAGATGTCTCGTGGACTTTTTTTCTTTGCTTGCAAATCAGGCACAGCAATCTGTCCTCCCACAGCCCTGGATTCTGGGGTGTCTGCAAGTTCTTCCAGTGCCCAGAGGTGTACGTTTTCAAGGCCAGGGCCCCCTGAGGACAACACGGCCCTCTCACCGCCTTCTCACTTTCCTAGGCTCGCCTCCCTCTGACGGGCGCTTTCTGCTTTATCCATGGGCAGAACGCCACAGGCCCAAGCGGTGGGCCTCTCCCTGCCTCGTAGTTTTTCACTTTACACTCATTAGCAGGATGACATGCGGAGTTTCTTAGCTCCTCCTCTGCGGGAGCTTCCGTTTCTGAAACTCCGTCCACTGAATTTCTCCCTGAACCCTGTGAAATCTGTCTTCCAAAACATGTTACAGTACAAGCAGTAGGTTGGCCAAAGGCGATCAAGGCCCGCATCACCAGGTCCGCAGTAACAGCTACCCCTTACTTCGCACTGTGTCTCTGCCATGAATTCCCATACGAACCTGGACAAACAGTCATCCTTTTCCCCATTTGTGCAGAGGTCAGAGAGGCCTGCGGCCCGAGGCAACACAGTGAGGAAGGGGCAGCACAGGAAAGCCCAGCTCCGAGTGACTCCAGAACCCGAGGCCCCCCTCCCCCTGCACGGTCTGACACTCTTTAGAACGTTCTACTGTTTCTTTCTCTTTTGGAAGAGAACAATTTTACTACTTCTTTCCAGCGTTTACACATATTACTCATTTTTTTCTAGCTACATTTTTAATTTTGACCCATATACATAAGACATAACATTATATTAGTTTCAAATGAAAAAGTTTTCTCTTTGCAATGTTTCATTCTATATGGAAAACAGAATAATTCTTCTATATTTTTCGAAATAAAAAAACGCCTAGATTTAGGGTTATAGGCTACTTTACTTTTTTTCATACCTTACACCTCTTATACTTTTTTCTATCGTATGCCTTCATTGTATTGTTTTTAAAATAGAAACAAGAATAGAAATAGAATCTGCATATTTTGAGACTCTATTTTATCTATACAACTAGAGGCCCAGTGCACAAAAATCGTGCAAGGGTGGGGTCCCTAGGCCTGGCGGGCAATCAGGGCTGATCGGGGCCTGCCGGCCAGGGAGAGGAATGGGGGTGAGGGGTGGGGAGAGGGCCGGCCGGGGGAAGTTGGCTGAGGGAGCGCACTGACCACCAGGGGGCAGCTCCTGTATGGAGCGTCTGCCCCCTGGTGGTCAGTGTGCGTCATAGTGACCGGTCATTCCGGTCGTTCTGGTTGCTTAGGCTTCGATGGGACAGATACTATTTCTTCTTTAACAACATTTAGCAAAAATTTAAAAATTAGAAAGAGGAAGTTTTGTAAATTAGAGAGTCTTCATGATTGGAATTTTATTAAAAAAAATAAATAGGAAAGGTACATTTATTTTTTAAAGAGGAACCACCCAGCCAGCCGGCGTGGGAAGGGGCCTGCAGGCACTCGGTCCCATTCCCTCCACAGCCCGGTCCAGGCATCTCTGCTGACGCTCCCCTCCTGCACCCACTTCGAGCCGACTGTGTCCAGAGGGGAGTCTAGCTCCCAAAGGCCTTCTGTTTACCTCCCCAACCTAATCAACCTCTACATGGGAACGAATGTGATTAATGTATGGGTATAGGGTGGACCTAGCCCCACAGGCCTTAGTATACTTGTTAACTAACCAAGGTGAACACTTGGGAGTGTTTCTAAACCTGTTCCAACAACGTTCACAGATCATCTGAGCACTGTGCAAATCTCAAGTTCACAAACTGCACGTGTGGTCTTGCAGGAACCTGGACATGTCCCCGACATGCTGACTAACCTCTCCAAGGTTAGAGGCGATGACAGCGTCAAGGACTGTAACATGAACTCTCTTTTAAAAGCTGAATTTAACCTAAGTGGTCTTTAGATAAACTCCCGAGTTACTTTAAACAGCTTAATTCTAATCAAGGCAAGTCTCTTAGGAAGTAAGACGCTTGCAGCCTACAGTACAAAGAGGAGCACTTCTGCTCAGGTGGACAGTTCTGTGCATTTACACGCCTAGTCACAGTTTTAAAAGTTATGGAGATCAATGGGCTGGCCCCTGGCTGAAATAATCCCGTGATCTGAAAATCTGTACGTGCATCTGCTGGCAGCTCTGAGTTTCTGCCGCCAACTAACGATTTGGTGCCAGCAAGCTGTCTTCCATTAATGGTCCAGAGAACATTTTATCGTAAGACTTCAGAAGAAGAGCCAGGTTTTCTGGGATTCAGTTATATGAAGCGTCATCATAGTTTTGCTTTTTATATCTATGGTTAATAAGCAAGATGTCTTAAAAAGTGTCTTGTTTGACTTTCTAAAAACGCTTAAGTGAGACTCTTTCATTGTTCCGAACCTGATAAAAACATCTTAAACCACCATGAAAACATTTAAAACTACCACCACATTGTATTTTTACATCACCCCTCTTCTCAAGACTATGCAAGTTCCCTTGTGTTCTGCCCTCAGCAAACTTGGATCGGAACTTTACCAAGGTTCGCTGTCCCAGGAGGTTCGTTTGGCTTTCTTAGGCTTGCAGCTCCCCCGCCCCTGCCCCCAGCCATCTTTCTGTAAAACCACACCCCCTACCGTCTTCAAAGATCATGGGACTGACCTTCCTTCTGAAGCCTCTCGGATGAGTCCCTCTCAGCCGCCAGACCTGGATCCCTGGAGTCCCATGCAACACGGGGTACACACTTGGTTTCCACGCTTTCCTGCCTTCTGTTACTATTACACTCGGAGCTTCTAACGGATGACAGCATGTCATTGCTCTAGCACCCAACACAGGGCCTGGCCACTCAATCATCTGTTGGGTGAACAAATAAACAAAGCCTAAAGCCAAACTGATGACCAATATGTGCTCATTCTTTATAGTTAAAGCTTCTCCTTTTTCTCTACTACTTCAAATAACAATGCAGGACATCTGAAAATCTGTTAATACTTTTTTTTCCACTTGAAAACTAAAAGAATGGTAGAACAAGTCTCAGACTGGCATTTCCTGCCTTGTCCTATAGCTTTTGGTTTAGAAATCGTCAGCTCTTAGACTATACATTTTATGGATATGAATCTAATGTCTTTATCAACTTCCTACCAACTACAAAACCAGTGCAGTGTCACATACAAGCCTCCTAGGAGGCTGGGCAGGACACTCTTTACTTTCCTTGAATGGAAAAGAAGAGAACAAAGCAGAGAGTTAGAGAGATACGTGTCTACACAGAACACAATTTTACTGAAATCAGCACAGGCACAAGCAGGGACACACAGCGGAAGTGAGGGGCACAGTGGGCACATTAACCTCCAGGGAGAGCAGTATCTTTCTGACATGCGGATCCAGGCAGGCCCCCACCAGGCAGCACGGACAGCGCGGTGCCACTGGGGAAGGCCCGTGGGGAGGTTCACAGCTACTGTGTGAAGCCGGACACGGGGGGGCGGGGGGGGAGGGGCGGGGGGGTAGTTAAAACCGTAACCATTCTGACCGGTCCTGGTACTGTCCATACCGGTACCGATGGGCATGAGGTCCGTTTCACTTCTTTTGACCCCCGGGGGGGACGTATGTCTCCCAGTGCAGTATAACCAGTGTCCACTGAAATGAGCAGTGGCACTCAATGTCTATTTGCTTAATGAATAGCTTCCTACTAAGTCCTTAACCCTTAGAATGAGCACTATTTTACTCTGGGTCGCCACGGCGGGAGGAGTCTTCATTCTGCAGCCAAGGCCCTCTGTCCTCGTCACAGGGACTGTAGCAACAGAGGTTTAATGCCGACGCGCTGCTACGTTTCACAGCCCTGGCGACACGGGGCTCCTCACAGGCGGCGTGGCCGAGGGAGCATTTACAGAGCGCGTGCCAGCGCTGTCTCCAGACACAGCCACCATATCCCCCACTATCGCAGGACCGGCGTCACGGCGGCCTTCCTTCTGCATGAGACAGGCGCAGGGGCGAGAAGGGTACCAGGCAGGTGTCAGAGCCGGGAACTGAACCCCAACCTTCAGATGCTCTGCACTCCGTCCCAGCCACTGTGAAACCCAGAACCTGTGGGACATCCGTTACAGAGAACGCCACTCCCCCATTGTTGGCGGCTAGAAAACTACTCATTAAAGTTAAACACCACCTCCTTGCCTCAAACTAGAGGATCATGGTTAAAATACTATGTGGTAAGCAGGCAGAATAATGAGAATTCTCTTCTCCTCTAGAGGAATATAAAGATAACACTGCCACGCACAAAGCTGCCAACAGCATTAATCCAACCCATCGCTGGGGCCCGCTCTGTCTTGGGTCCCTTACTGTGCAGCTTTATTGTACTGTGTGTGTTGTAATGTACCCCGCAAATCACAGAAGGACGCCTCAAGAAGTCGAATTAAAGAGTCACATTTATTGCAATCCAGGACTAAAGCAAATAGGTACCATACTTCAGGTGCTCCTGTCCTACCAGTAAGGCCCCCAGTGACCCACTAATCCTCACGTCCACTGTGGTCAGCCCTCCACCACGCTGCCCTCGCCGGGCTGGGTAGGAGTTACAAGCATCTTCTAGCAGCATCAACCCCAGCATCACCCACCCTTCATCCTTTTGCTCTCATCTCCAGCTGTATACCTCGCTCCCTGCTCCACTGGCCCAGTTTCTGCATTCCAAAGGGCGGTGCAACACCATTTCTTTGGGGGGGTGGGGGAGAACTTCCCACCCCAAACACCAGCACGCACAGTACCCCCAGTGTTTCCTCTCCGGGGCGTGTTTTCCTTGTAGAGGGAGGGCTGCCTTTACTCAGGGCCCCTCACATCATAAATACGGCGACGTACACAGACATCCCGCCTAACGGAGCACTTAGGCGGACGTGCGATGAGTGTTTCCAGCTAACTGTAACGAAGGTGGTCATTTTAAAGAGAACTTCCTTGGGGGAATAGAAGGAATGCTCGGAGCTTTCCAAAAACGTGTCTCCTATAAACTGCTTGCCGCCAAGCGCTTTCCCGCGGAGGGCGTGCTGCCTAGACAGGCATGGTGGTCGCTAACAGCAGGTGGTGATCATGATGTGGGCGGGGGGGGGGGGGGGCGGGGGGGGGGGGGG